GACCAGCTCCCTCACCCAGGGACCAGCTCCCTCACCCAGGGATCAACACCCTCACCCAGGGACCAGCCTCCTCACCCAGGGACCAGCTCCCTCACCCAGGGACCAGCACCCTCACCCAGGGACCAGCTCCCTCACCCAGGGACCAGCTCCCTCACCCAGGGACCAGCTCCCTCACCCAGGGACCAGCTCCTCACCCACGGACCAGCTCCCTCACCCAGGGACCAGCCTCCTCACCCACGGACCAGTTCCCTCACCCAGGGACCAGCTCCTCACCCAGGGACCAGCCTCCTCACCCAGGGACCAGCCGCCTCACCCAGGGACCAGCCTCCTCACCCAGGGACCAGCCTCCTCACCCAGGGACCAGCTGCTCACCCAGGGACCAGCTCCCTCACCAAGGGACCAGCTCCCTCACCCAGGGACTAGCCTCCTCACCCACGGACCAGTTCCCTCACCCAGGGACCAGCTCCTCACCCAGGGACCAGCACCCTCACCCAGGGACCAGCACCCTCACCCAGGGACCAGCTCCCTCACCCAGGGACCAGCTCCCTCACCCAGGGACCAGCTCCCTCACCCAGGGACCAGCTCCTCACCCACGGACCAGCTCCCTCACCCAGGGACCAGCCTCCTCACCCACGGACCAGTTCCCTCACCCAGGGACCAGCTCCTCACCCAGGGACCAGCCTCCTCACCCAGGGACCAGCCTCCTCACCCAGGGACCAGCCTCCTCACCCAGGGACCAGCCTCCTCACCCAGGGACCAGCTGCTCACCCAGGGACCAGCTCCCTCACCAAGGGACCAGCTCCCTCACCCAGGGACCAGCCTCCTCACCCACGGACCAGTTCCCTCACCCAGGGACCAGCTCCTCACCCAGGGACCAGCTCCCTCACCCAGGGACCAGCCTCCTCACCCAGGGACCAGCTCCCTCACCCAGGGACCAGCCTCCTCACCCAGGGACCAGCTCCTCACCCAGGGACCAGCCTCCTCACCCAGGGACCAGCCTCCTCACCCAGGGACCAGCTCCCTCACCCAGGGACCAGCTCCCTCACCCAGGGACCAGCCTCCTCACCCAGGGACCAGCTCCCTCACCCAGGGACCAGCCTCCTCACCCTGGGACCAGCTCTCTCACCCAGGGACCAGCCGCCTCACCCAGGGACCAGCTCCCTCACCCAGGGACCAACACCCTCACCCAGGGACCAACACCCTCATCCAGGGACCAGCCTCCTCACCCAGGGACCAGCTCCCTCACCCAGGGACCAGCTCCCACGCCCAGGGACCAGCCTCATCACCCAGGGACCAGCTCCCTCATCCAGGGACCAGCTCCTCTCCCAGGGACCAGCTCCCTCACCCAGGGACCAGCCTCCTCACCCAGGGATCAGCTCCTCACCCAGGGACCAGCTCCCTCACCCAGGGACCAGCCTCGTCAAACAGGGACCAGCTCCCTCACCCAGGGACCAACACCCTCACCCAGGGACCAACACCCTCACCCAGGGACCAGCCTCCTCACCCAGGGACCAGCACCCTCACCCAGGGACCAGGTCCTCACCCAGGGACCAGCTCCCACGCCCAGGGACCAGCCTCATCACCCAGGGACCAGCTCCCTCATCCAGGGACCAGCTCCTCTCCCAGGGACCAGCTCCCTCACCCAGGGACCAGCCTCCTCACCCAGGGATCAGCTCCTCACCCAGGGACCAGCTCCCTCACCCAGGGACCAGCCTCCTCAAACAGGGACCAGCTCCCTCACCCAGGGATCAGCTCCTCACCCAGGGACCAGCTCTCTCACCTAGGGGCCAGCCTCCTCACCCAGGGACCAGCTCCCTCACCCAGGGACCAGCCTTTTTACCCAGGGACCAGCTCCCTCACCCAGGGACCAGCCTCCTCACCCAGGGACCAGCTCCTCACCCAGGGACCAGCCTCCTCAAACAGGGACCAGCTCCCTCACCCAGGGACCAGCTCCTCACCCAGGGACCAGCCTCCTCACCCAGGGACCAGCTTCCTCACCCAGGGACCAGCTCCCTCACCCAGGGACCAGCCTCCTCACCCAGGGACCAGCTCCCTCACCCAGAGACCAGCTCCCTCACCCAGGGACCAGCTCCTCTCCCAGGGACCAGCACCCACGCCCAGGGACCAGCACCCACGCCCAGGGACCAGGTCCTCACCCAGGGACCAGCACCCTCACCCAGGGACCAACACCCACGCCCAGGGACCAGCACCCACACCCAGGGACCAGCTCCCTCACCCAGGGACCAGCACCCACGCCCAGGGACCAGTTACCTCACCCAGGGACCAGCAGCCACGCCCAGGGACCAGCACCCACACATAGTGACCAGGTCCCTCGCCCAGGGACAAGCACCCACGCCCAGGGACCAGCCTCCTCAACAGCACAACACAACCAATGAGCCGAAGTTGTTTGGCGTTGAGAGGTGAGAGAGCAGGCCAGACCAAGGGAGCTGTTGTTGCCAGTACACTGCCTCCCCTCACAGGTACACAACACCTTGCCTTTGATCACAACAACTCACCAACTCCCCCCCCCCCCCTCATTAATCTTACACACCCATGAATTAATGTAATGTTAACGAATATTATTAATGCAAGACTGGGCAAGGCGCGCACTTGGGGAAGTAACATATCTCTAACTAATTTGTGTGGTTTTCTAGAGCATGTGTACTTGTTTGCCTCGCCGGGAATGAGTCTCGGCTCTTGGACCCCGCCTCGCTGCTAGAGAGATCTGGTTCACCAGCTACCTCTCCTCCAACTGTTTGTCCTATGGAGAGGTGGGTCCCGCCAAACACACACCGAAACTACGACGTTGGCACAACGTTCGAACAAGTTTTAACACCTCCTAACCAGTTATAACAACCAATATAGCAAGTTGTAACAACTTTCTAATACGTCATAAACACGTTAAGCCAAGATGTAACAACTTTATTACAAGTTGTAACAAGCGGAAAATAGAGACAGTTTCGGTTTGTGTTTCCAGGGATGCGGCGACGTCCTTGTATCTTACAAGGTGGCGCTGATGGTGCAAGTGTTGGGCATCCTTCCTTCATCCCTTCCTCACATCCCAGCGCCTTGGCCTCATATCCTCTCACAGTGCTATACTGGTATAGTTATACTGGCTTAGTGCTTTGTCCTGATAATGTCCTTGTGGTGTGTGGTGTTAACGTGGTGGAGGTGGAGGTGCCGGCGCCCCGTGCCGGCACCCCGGCCGCCCTCCCGCCACAAGTCTCGTCATTCACCACTCTCACGTTAGATTATTATTTATGAATATCTGTGACTAACTTGTTTTTAAAATCTATATTTATGTTCACTCCTGCTATTTTGTTGCATTTTAGATAGGTAAACCCTCTTCACTTTACCATCGTTTCTCAATATTGTGTACGTAGCCTAGTTGTGCTTGCGGGGGTTGAGCTCTGGCTCTTTAGTCCCGCCTCTCAACCGTCAATCAACTGGTGTACAGATTCCTGAGCCTATTGGGCTTTATCATATCTACACTTGAACCTGTGTATGGAGTCAGCCTCCACCACATCACTGCCTAATGCATTTCACCTGTTAACTACTCTGACACTGAAAAAGTTCTTTCTAACGTCCCTGTGGCTCATTTGGGTACTCAGTTTCCACCTGTGTCTCCTTGTTCGCGTTCAACCCGTGCTAAAGAATTTAGCACGGGTGGAATTTGTCTTTGTCCACCCAGTCAATTTCTTCGAGTATTTTGTAGGTGGTTATCATGTCTCCCCTTACTCTTCTATTTTCCAGGGATGTGAGGCTCAGCTCCCTTAACCTTTCCTCGTAGCTCATACCTCTCAGTTCCGGGACCAGTCTGGTGGCATACCTCTGAATCTTCTCTAACTTTGTCTTGTGTTTAACTAGGTATGGACTCCAGGCTGGAGTGTGTGTACACACACACACACACTACATGTGCTGGCAGGATCGAGTTCGGCTCTCAGTGTCGTCTTCTGATCATATTTTATAAAGCGAGTCCATTTGCGTATGCGCTTAATTAAGAAAGTTTGGGAAGAGGGAGTGAGATGAACTTACTACAAATGGCATAATACATGTGACGCACAATTATTCACACTGCCCCCCCCCCCTCCCCTCCTAACACACCCACACCGCCACGATAACATCACCACTAACACCTTCCCTCAGTTACCCAAAGAGAAAACTTGAAACACGCACCAAGCACACATGGCGTGTTTCACCAACATAATTGTGTTATCATATACAGTATAACCACCACTAGTGTTGTCGTCGCAGGCCCCAGCAACCTGGCCCTCGTCGTCCCAGCAGCAGAGAGCTACGCTGGTAAACTGGTCTCGCTAGTAATTGCCTTGTTTGGTGGCTAGTCACCAAAGACGGGTTGCCCTCTATGACTGTGGTTGTCTGGACCTCTGAATCGTTGCCGTGAGCAACACATCACATCCATGTCAGAAGCTTCACTTTTACCCACATCATTACCTATTTTTCTGTCGTTAATTGTAAATCAGATCACTGAACAGCTATTTAAAAGTAGAAACAATTGCATATGACTGATTCAATCCATCCTCCGATTTGACAGAACGTTTTAATACTAAATGTAATAAGTACATTTCCCGACTGTCATACATAGTACATAATTGCACTTATGGGACTTACATTTATCTCCCATTTTTGGAGGACGGGTGGACTGATTGGAATACGAAAGAATCATATATGGAACATGTTTACTGGCCAATCCTTGAGGTGGAGGTACCCCGGTCGAGGCACGACACACCACTCGGCCAAGTTGAGGCCAACCTCAAAAGGTTCAATCGTAATTTGCGGCCGTCGAATATTTTCACGCAAAGGAAAACAACTTGTGCTCATTGAAGTCACGTTCAGTAAGTGATTAGCAAGAGGAAGCAGCAAGCCAGGAAGGCTCTACAGCACCGCCTGGAACATCATAGTCACGCATAAAATACTTAGCGGGATTGACTCAGTAACAAAAGCAGAAATGTCCATAATGATTAACTGAACAAGACGGCATGAGTGAAAGCTTGAGACTCACGTGTCATAGTGATGTTAGAAAGTTTTCTTTTAGCGTAAGAGAAGGGAGTAAATGGAAGGACCTAAAGGAGCAGCTTGTAGAGCTTAACTCCATTCATAACATTAAAAGCCGGTATGATAGAGAAATAGGCCAGGAGTCATTGCATTAGGCAACCAACGGCTAGAAAAGCGGGGTGCAAGAGCCAGAGCCCGATCCTGCAGGCACAAACAGGTGAGTACAAATAGAAGAGTACAGACAGACACACACACACACCTACCTAGTTATGGACAAGCAACACTCGTCAGCTGGAGCTGCACGTCATTGTTTAAATAATCTTGAAAAATGACAGCAAGCGGTTCCCGCGCCTGAAATATATGAGAGGCAAGTTATTCTCCTCAGTCATTACTATCTTCCCTCTGTTTACACCTCTGTCTGTCTGTCTCTCTGTCTGTCTCTCTCTCTCTCTCTCTCTCTCTCTCTCTCTCTCTCTCTCTCTCTCTCTCTCTCTCTCTCTCTCTCTCTCTCTCTCTCTCTCTCTCTCTCAACATGTCTGTCTCTCTAATCTTTCTCTCTCTCTCTCATCATGTCTATCTCTCTAATCTCTTTCTCTCTACATGTCTGTACTTACTATCTGGGGCAGCAGGATCGAGGTGTTATCTCTTGTACCCGGATTCCTAACTGTTGGTTGTTTAATGACTCCCGACATATTTTCCCCTCACTCATATCTGCTAGAATCATATTTCACCATCAAGTCATCACACATGGTAATGGTCCAGGACGAGGAGGAACATCGTCGTTTCTCATCATCTTCTGACGTGTGGTTTGGTCATCATGTCTTCAGCCTCGTTATTGTGACACATCGTCTGCACTGCACCTTAGCAAAGCACAATAATCACATGGGTAAAAGAAAGTGTCTTTTGCGAGAATGTAAGAACACAGATATTGTGTAGCTATTACAACCCATGTACCTTCTTGCGTGAAAATAAGCAAATAAATACCTCAAACACTGTTTATGTAGGACAGATGGAAATGTATGTATGTATGTATGTATGTATGTATGTATGTATGTATGTATGTATGTATGTATGTATGTATGTATGTTTGTATGTATGTATGTATGTATGTAGGATAGCATCTTAAAAGCACTACAATTACCCTTTGTGGTTGTTCAATAAGTCACTAAACTATACGTCCAACAGATCTCTATCCCTGTCCATAAAGGAGAGCATATTTATGTTGTAATAAACACTTTATAGCTTAATATATATTCTACCATATAAATTATCATCAACTTAATATTATCTACTACTTTTACTAGGTTTTGAATTTATTTTGATTTATTTTATACTTAAGTCCGAAAGAATATTTAACTACAAAGTCAATCAAAATTAACTCAAAACCTAGTAAAAGTAGTAAGTAATGTTAAATTAATTTATATGGCAGAATGTATATTATCATTAAGCTATAAGGTGTATATATTACAACATACATCTATACAAAGAGGTCCAGCCTCTACATGAGAGAGTAATGAAGCATCTTAGTGAAGACTGTGCAAGATGCCGACGCTGCCAGAGTGCTTCCTGACTGTGGCACTCAATCAATGAGTGCGTGCACGAATGTACTGGTCCCACTAGTGCGTGCAGGAGTGCACAGGACCCACTAATGCGTGCAGGAGTGCACAGGACCCACTAGTGCGTACAGGAGTGAGTGCACAGGACCCACAAGTGCGTGCAAAGGACCCACTAGTGCGTGCAGGAGTGCACATGTCCCACTAGTGCGTGCAGGAGTACACAGGACCCACTAGTGCGTGCAGGAGTACACAGGACCCACTAGTGCGTGCAGGAGTACACAGGACCCACTAGTGCGTGCAGGAGTACACAGGACCCACTAGTGCGTGCAGGAGTACACAGGACCCACTAGTGCGTACAGGAGTACACAGGACCCACTAGTGCGTGCAGGAGTGCACAGGACCCACTAGTGCGTACAGGAGTGCACAGGACCCACTAGTGCGTACAGGAGTACACAGGACCCACTAGTGCGTGCAGGAGTGCACAGGACCCACTAGTGCGTGCAGGAGTACACAGGACCCACTAGTGCGTGCAGGAGTGCACAGGTCCCACTAGTGCGTGCAGGAGTACACAGGACCCACTAGTGCGTGCAGGAGTACACAGGACCCACTAGTGCGTGCAGGAGTGCACATGTCCCACTAGTGCGTGCAGGAGTACACAGGACCCACTAGTGCGTGCAGGAGTACACAGGACCCACTAGTGCGTGCAGGAGTACACAGGACCCACTAGTGCGTGCAGGAGTACACAGGACCCACTAGTGCGTGCAGGAGTGCACAGGACCCACTAGTGCGTGCAGGAGTGCACAGGTCCCACTAGTGCGTGCAGGAGTACACAGGACCCACTAGTGCGTGCAGGAGTGCGTGAAGAGAGGATGCCAAGAGCGGGTCGTCAGCGAGACGCCTCACAACGCTCCGGACACCAATTGTGTATGGAAATGTTGCTGCTTTTGTGTACAACTTTGTTGATGAAAGGCCTCTACCCCGGGGTGAGGGGGCTCGTGGGAGCTGCCCCGGGGTGAGGGGGCTCGTGGGAGCTGCCCCGGGGTGAGGGGGC